TGTCCCCTCCCACCCTCTGAGTGTAGGAGGCCTCTGTGGGGCGGGGTCCCCTTTGCTCAGGACGGAAGGCCCCCAGCTGCCTGACCAGCCACCCTGGCTCACCCTGATAGGTAGCCACTGTGGAGGCCTGGAGCCAGGATGAGACAGATGGGCCTTCCTCACGCCGGCTAGTGTTGCAGCCTGGCAGCCTGGCGGCTCCTCGAATCTTTGCTCTCCTTCCCAACTCCCCATCACAAGGGCTCATTGTTCCCTCCTCCCTTGATAGAGGTCACCTGAGCCAGGTAGCAGGCTGGGGGCAGGGCCTGGGCAGGCTGGATGCTGAGCTCAGGAGGTAGGGGGTGAGGATGGTGCCAGGAGCAGAGAACACTGCTAGACTAGGGGTGACTGGAGCCCCAGGCCTAGGGCTGGCCACCTCGGAACCTTGCCTGCTGCCCTCAGCCCCTGCCCCACCCTCTGTCCTGAAACTTGCCAACTTCCTGTCTCCTGGGAGTGGAGGTGACTCAGATTGGCTGTGTCTTTGAGGTTTCACTGAAGGAACACCTGTGTGGCCCCTGCTGAGCCCACCTCCTGGGCCCCATAGAGTTCTAGAGTGACTGGACATGCCCACTCCCTCATCCCTCAAGCCTAATCCTAAACAGGCAATAGGGGTGCTCTGCCCAGCTGGCCCTTGGGCCCTGGTTAGGAGTTGGGAGTGGCAGGAATGGGAAGGACAAACCGGCCCAGGACAGGTGGACGGGACAGCCTGAGGCATGTGGGAGCTCGGCCCTGGCCTTGCGGAACCTTCTGCTTTTAGGGCCTGGTGTCCAGTTTCTCCCCTGTCTCCCCAATCCAAACTGCCTGCCTTGTTGGCCCCCACAAGATCGTCAGGGCCTTTTTGCCTCCTTCAGAGATTGGTGGGTCTTATTTGCATGATAATCAGTCAGTGTTGCCTTCCCCTCCCTAATCCTTGGGAGTTATCCCCCCAAAAAGGCACCTGGGCCCCACATGGTTTGCACTTGAACCCTTCTTGTGCCCTATCCAAACAGTTTATCTAGGGAATCCACTCTCCTTGGTTTGTTCTTGAGGGAACTTGCCTTGTCACTCAGAGAAGATGTTAGGCTGATGGAAAACGTTAGTGGACACTGGTGGGGCACAGCCTGTGGGCATTTTGGGGTGAGCTGAGCCTTCCAGTGGCTCTTAGGTGGTCTTCTCGCTGCTTTTTGTGGTCAGTGATAGGACAGCCCTGCTAAGTGTCCCTCCTTTAGGGGAGACCCTGGTTGCTGCCAATGGTGAAGGTCCTAGAAATTCAAGTCCACCCAGAGGTGCCTCAGAAGAAAGGCCTGTCATTCTTCTCCTGAAGAATCAGCCGATGGAGCCCAGCTGGAGTCTGACACACATTGAATTACATGCATGCATCAGAATTGGCCCAGCAGCAGCTAGTGACTGAGCCAGGTCTACACCAATCCCAGCCCACTGTCACCGAGTCAAATCTGACTCATAGCAACCCTACAGGGCTGCCCTGCTGGTAACTAAAAGGTCAGTGGTTCCAATCCACTCCAATTCCTCCTCAGGAGAATTGAGGCAGCCTGCATGCATAGAGATTTATGACAAGAAAACCCTACAGGGCAGTGGATGAGGTTAGAATGATAGTATGTTCCCATTGCCCAGCATATCCATGTAATTACTGTTTCAACATATAATCAATATGTTATGAAGATGTTTTACAAAGTGTTTAATATTGGAAGTCTGTGGAATCTGGTGTGTCTTTTACACCTAGGACACATTTTACATTTTCTTTGGAAATACCAGTTCCCATGAGGTGGCACCATAAATTTCGTGTCAGAATCCAACTCCACAGGACTTTGTCTCAAGGGCCAAGCTTTTGGAAATATTTGATCTACAGCTGTTGTTTTTAGATACCATCAAACTACTACGACTCATAGTGACCCTGTGAACAGCAGATCCAAACCCTGCCCTCTGCGGCACCATCCTCACCGTCTCTGATGTGGTGAGCCCATTGTTACAGTCACTGTGTCAATCTATCTTGTTCAAGATCTGACCCTCCACCTTTCCCATCTTTTTCCAAGCCACCAGCACCTCCTGGCAATAAGCTCAGAGGATGAGTTGAAGTTTCACCATCTTGCCTCCAAGGAGCGCTCTGGTGGAACCCCTCTGGGATAGTCTCGCCTGTTCCTCTGCAGGCCACAGGATATTGAGTACCCTCCAACACCGGAACTCAAAGGCATCGATTCTTCTTTATTTACCGTTCAGCTTCCAGGTGCACAGGAAGTAACTGAAAAGACCATGACTTGGATCAGACACACCTTAGTCTTTAAACTGACATTGCTCTTTAGTACTATGGGAAGGTCCTTGACAGCCAGTATCCTCGATGCAAGCATCTTGATTTCTTGACTCTATTACCATGGGATTAGATTGTGAGTCTAAAGAAAATGAAATTGTTGACAACTTCAGTTTCTTCTCTGTGTGTCATAGTTTTGCCTGTTGATCTAAGGGTAAGAATTTTGCTTTCCTAATGTTGAAATGTAATCCGTATTGAAGGCTTTGTTCTCCTGCAGTGAGTACTTCCAGTCCTCTTCACTTTCCGCAGGCGGGATTGTGTCATCTGCCTCGTGCTGGTTGTTGCTGAGTCCTCCTCCAATCTTACGCTGCTTTCTTCTTCATGTATAGCTTCTCGAATGATTGGCTCAGCTTGCAGCTCGAGTAGGTGTGGGGGAAAGGATGCAATCCTGATCCGCACCTTTCCTGATTTTAAACCATGCAGTGTTCTCTGCTCTGTTTGAGCAACAGCTTCGCTCTGTACTTAGGTTTCAGCAGATTCACAGCTGAAAAAGTAGATTTGACTGCCTGACTCCCTCCCTTGTTTTACTTGAGTTCTTCCAAGCATAGCTGAAAGTCGTCCAGTGGTTAAATTCAGTATCTGTTTTCATGAAAATTAAGTCAAACTTGAAGTTCTTTTCTGCCATGGCCTTAGCCCCACATGGCGAGTGATTCGCCCTAGTAGCAGAATGGCAGCACCCAGCAACAGTGGCCACATGTGACGGCCACACTGAGCAGCTCAGGGTCTCTGACCATCATGGGCTCCTACTGGACATTTCTCCCCCTGAAAACCCAAAAGGCAATCTCCCTGCCATTGAGTTGACTCACACTGAGTTGGAGCCACCCCGTAGGGCAAAGTGGAACTCCCCTTTGTGATTCCAAGGCCCTAATTGGGTTTTTTATGATTTGTTTTTTTTTTTTTAAGGCTGTAATTCTTTATAGAAGCATACAGCCTCATCTTTCTCCCATGGTGTGACTGGTGAATTAGGACCACTGACCTTTGAGATAGCAACTCCAGTCCACTGCCAGACTTTTACCTTGGCTGCTACTGGTGGTGGTGGGACAGTGCTGCTGTCCGGGGCAGTTTCCCTTGGCCACTGTGTCCTCCTGCTCTGGATGCCGAGTTTCTGAGGCCCCAGCAAGCTGGGACTGGCCAAGGCCGAGTAGGGCCTTGTGGGGGCGTCTGCCCCATGCCCCATCCCCTCTCCTGCCTTCACTGTCCTGGGAGATGTTTACATTCCACATAGTCCCCTATCTCACTGGGCCTCTTCCAGGCTCTGCATTTTTCACATAACTCAGCAGGGACCTGGCCTGGTCTCCAGGTGCCAACTGTGGGGGGCAGGCTGGGTTCCTGAGAGTGAGCAAGGCCTACGGGAACCCCACCCCCTGCCGGCCCTTGACGTCCCAGAGGGGCACACCCCGGAGCTCTCCTCCCCACCCTGACCCCAGCAAGGACCTCCTCCCCGACTCCTGGGACTGGACTGGACGGGGCGTCTGTCAGCCGCTGAGTATGCTAAGCCGTCTCGCCAGCTGTCACCAGGACCTTATCTGCTTTCTGCTTTGAGGCCTGACAAGCTCAGCTGCTTGGTCTACGGAGAGAGACATGCCTGGGCCCTCAGGCCCTGGGACCACGTGCTGACTGGCAGGGCACAGTGTGAATCCAAAAGGGGCCAAAACCAACTTGAGTCAAGAATCGGACAAACGATTGCATTATCCTAATAGAATAAAGACAGTACCGCGGACCAGACCCGTTGCTGTCAGTTCTGACTCCCAGTGACTGTGTAGGACAGAGCAGAGCTGTCCCACAGGGTTTCCAACGAGAGATAGATGGCCACATATCCTCCCTCGTAACAGTTGGTGGTTCGAACCTTTCGCCAGGCACTTTCACCACCAGTGTAACCCCAAACCAGGAAAGTGCTTCCTTTTTCTTACGTGTCATCGTCGCACAGGGGCCATGCCAGTCTTCTCTGTATTGGTCCAGTCTTAGCATGTGTGCTGCCAAAGCGGGCAGTCCTTTTTCCTTAAAGTAGCTGGTTACTCGCTTGGCTCTAGCCATACAAGTTCATGGTTCTCTGAGAGGCGAGGGAGGGATGGTCAGGGCAGGGGCTGGTGAAGAGGCAAATCCAGACCCCTTCCCTGAAATGGTCTGTCTGTGGAAATCTCTGGCATTTCCACCATAGCTTTGAACCTGTCATTTCACCTCTCGGCCATCTGCCTGTGGAGGCCCTTGGGAGTGGCCAGCGAAGACTTGAGCCTGGGAATGGTCACCCATGAGCCATTTGCAAAGATACTTGAAACAAAACGTTCACCAGTGGAGGCCTCTCCAGGGAAACGTTGTTAGCGTTTTGAAAATTGTGGGAAGACCTAGGCTGGTCATGAGGAGAAAGGGGCTTGCAAAGGTGGTCACACGGCCAAGGATGGGATCTGGGGTGGACAGTGGTAGGGCTTGGATTTGTCTCCAACCCTCAGAAGTGCCCAGGTGGGACCCTGAAAGTGGCAGCTCCTTTCTCCTGCCTGCAGAGTTTATCCCGGGGCTCGGCTTGGCTGCTCTGCCCACCACGGGGACAGAGGGGCCCCCACTCAGTCTGTGCCCCCATTCTTGGAGCTTGGCTTGGTTGCCCTGCCCACCATGGGGATGGAAGGGCCCCCACTGAAGCTGTGCCCCCTTCTTGCTCTCATTGCAGACCGTGGAACATGGCTTCCCACACCAGCCAAGTGCCCTGGGCTACAGCCCCTCCCTGCGTGTGCTGGCCATTGGCACTCGCTCCGGGGCCATCAAGCTGTATCCTTTCCAGCTCTCAGCCGGCCAGGTCCAGGGAAGGGCGGCAGACTCTCTATTCACGTGCCCTGGGCGGTGGGGATCGGAATGGGGGCTCCTAGGCAGGTAGGTGGAGGACAAGCCCTTCCAGGGGCCACCAGGTCGTACTGGAACCTCAGGCCTTTCTTCATCTACCTCCCTTGGCTCTTCCCTCTACCAGAAACAGCATACTGCACACACCCTTTGTCCGTAGGAAGGTTCCAGATGTCCCCTCAGGAACCTACACTGAACATGGGATGCACCTCTGCTTTGTTCCCCAACAAGGGTCCTGGAATGACTGGGGCCGTGTCCATCCAGGATTCCACAGAGGGACTCGGTCTCACATACTTGGAGGATGTTGTCAGGAAGGGCAGTCCTTGGCATCACGCTGGGAAAGCAGAGGGTCGGTGAAGGAGAGAAAGACCTTTAATGGGATGGCTTGTCACAGTGCCTGCAGCAGTGGGCTGGAGGACGTGTGTGGGAGTGACGCAGAATCAGGCAGGGTTTTGTCTGGTGTACATTAGTCAGTACTAGTCAGAGTGACAGCACCTGACAAACAGCACAACAGCCACACTTCCACACCTGAGGGCAGTGTGTCCTCTGCACAGCTCCGAGGCCCTGGCCTGTGGCTGGACAGGGTCCTGTTGGGCCATCTTTTATCTGGTGGATGGGGTGTAGAGCTGATGGGGACTGCGACCTCTTGGAGGCCCCCCTCAGCTCAGGGTCCAGCAGAGGGGGACCTCCTGGACTTGCCCTTGGCCTTCTTTGAGCTGTGCTGTGCTGGAAGTCTTGTAACACACCCCACACACACATCTGAGCAGGGGGGGATCCTAGGAGCATTGAGAGTTGGGGGCTTACAGAACCCTTGGGCACTTTCTCCAGCCAAGCACCACCGTCCTCCTGTCCCTTCTGCCCTGCAGTGTGGGTGAGGTGGGGCTGGGGGATTAGGGGTGCCAGGCCAGCTCGGCCGCAGTATTGTACACACAGGAGGACGGGGCCCTTTCCTGCCACCTGCTGCTTGTTTGGCCTGACCTCTGCTGGTTAATCATTGCCAGACCAGGGCCATATCCTGGTTACCATTTCCCGCCGCCAAGACGCAGGGGCCCCAGAGGATCACCCCTGTTTCTCACAGGGGCCTGTGCCCAGGTTCGTCATACCTGGGTCAGAGCAGGGCCTAAAGCACCTAACAGCTATCGAAACAAAGTCTCACCTTTCCAGGGCAGTCACCCCACCTCTGGCCCGGGGAGCTTTCCCGGGTAGAACTGGCCCCACCCTAGAGGTCAGGCCCCCAGCAAGGTGCCACTGCTGTCTCCACCCAGCCCAGGCGAGCCTCCCCTGCTGCAGGGGCCATGTGGGCCCAGAGGTCTCGGTCTCGGGCAGGTGGGGATGCTGTCTGATCTCAAGCTTTTCCTGAGCCTGCTCCCAGCTACGGCGCCCCTGGAGTGGAGTTCATGGGGCTGCACCGTGAGAACAACACCGTGGTGCAGATCCACTTCCTGCCTGGCCAGGTAAGGGGCCTGGGGGTGGTGGGACCCCGTGCCTCCCCACCCTCATATCTTCCAGGAGGCCAGCATTGGTGGCCCTGGGTTTGATGCTAATGGAGACCCCGAAACTTCCCCTTCTCCACCTCAAGGCCACAGTGTGGCCTAAAGAGTAGGGGGTGGGGGAGGTCATGTTTGGAACCTGGGGTCTTGGCTGCGCCAAGTAAAGACCACAGTGAGGCTGACCCCTCCTGGCTAAGGAGGCAGCAGCCTCTCCCCCTGATCCCGTCCCCTGCTCCATTTCCTCCCCAGTGCCAGCTGGTCACCCTTCTGGACGACAACAGTCTGCATCTCTGGAGCCTGAAGGTCAAGGGTGGAGTGTCAGAGCTACAGGAAGAGGAGAGCTTCATACTACGCAGCCCCCCAGGGTAAGGACGGGGTCCCTTCCTCCCCCAACACGAGGGAAGTGCTGGGGAGGTCACCCTCTGCAGGTCCTTTACTCTCAGGCCAAGGCCAAGGCCAGCTCCTCACCTGGGAGAAACATTAGTCTAGACCCGTGTCGGCTCTTCCCCAGATGTTATTTCAACATCTGCACATACCCTACCTTTAAGCCTTAGTTTGCACATCTGTAAAGTGAGTCTGCATATAGTATCAACTTTACAGGGATGCTTTTGAGTATCAAATGAGATAATTCATATTACACTGTTAACCGTATAGAATCTAATTAGCCAAAAGAGACATTTAACTGAAGTTCTGTTAGAATCTGGGGAAGGCAATGCACCTTATTCCAGTTTTTCAGATTGTTGTTGTTAGTTGCTGCACAGGCAGATCTCAGAGATATTTTGAGTTTGTTTTCAGGCCACCACATAAAGCAATTAACACAATAAACTAAGCCACATGGATATTTTCACTTCCGGTGCACGTGAAAGACGTGTTTACTCCCTACTTCAGTCTGTTAGGTGTATAGTAGAACGATGGGGATGTTGGATATTTTATGAGAATTGCCAAAATGTGACACAGACTCGAAGTGACCATGAACTATTGAAAAAAATGATGCCACAAAAAACTACCAGGGAAGCACAAGAAAGCAAGGTATCACCATAATTCTTGAGACCTAGTGTGTGTGTCATGGAGTGGAAGGGCCACCGCCTGCCTGCCTCTGTCCCCATGCAGGGTGGCCCCTTTCCTGCCTCATAGCCCAGGCCCTCTGTCATCTTTGTCCTGTCTTGGCTGTCCCATGCCACTGCTAATGGACCTGTTCTCCCTGGGCCTGGCCTTCCCCAGCGGGTCCATGGGGCCTGTGTGTGGTGGGGGAGGCGAAGGCACCAGGAAGCTAACGACCACCATCCTCACTACAGGGCCGCCCCCAGCGCCACACAGATCACCGTGGTCATGCCCCATTCCTCCCGGCCGCTGCTCTACCTGGGCACCGAGAGTGGCAACGTGTTCGCGGTGCAGCTGCCAGCCTTCCGTGTGCTGGAGGACAGTACCATCAGCTCGGGCGCTGTGCTGCAACGGTGAGCCACACCCCTGGGCCCTGGGTGACCCTCAGCGAGGCCTGGCCTCTCCCTTTCATGCACCCCTGCCATCCAGCGACTCTTAAGAAGGCCTGGTGGCACTGTGGCTGAAGATTTGGCAGCTAACCGAAAGGTCAGCACTTCAAACTCACCTGCCACTGTCCACCAAGATTACGACCCAGGAAATCCTGGGGGCTGACCTGTCCGCCCCACAGGGTCACCACCCGGAACCAACTACGCAGCAATGGTTAGATTTCAGGGTTTTCTGACAACTCGTGGGTCTTCATTTCTTTCCTGGGAAGTCTACTGGGTGGGAAGGGGGTTCTCGGCTCCCCCTCAGACTCCTAATCTGCCAGCCTGTCACCCCTAATGCTTTAACATTACAGCACCAAAACGGGGCTTGGAGGTGCCTTATCGCCAAATATCACAATGCTTCCCCAAGTCCTAGACCATATTTTTCAGACACACATACCCACACCCCCATACACACAAGAACAGCTCACCACTGACCACTTAGTCAAAGTTAAGTCTCAGGGCCGGGTTTCCACATGCACAGACTGTGGTCAAGAGCTGTGACAGTCATAGTGCTGCAAAATGGGTGACCCTGGAGGACACTATGCTGAGTGAAATATCTGTCACAAAAGGACAAATATTGCATAATGCCACTATTATAAAACAAGATTGACATCAGGGTTGGGAGAAAACTAAGAAAAGAGGGGATAAATAATGTACACTGCATTGAAACAAATGAGGGAAAGAACTACTTAAAAGGATTATATGATTAGGTATTATTTGTATGACAAGAGTCCAGAATAAGAGCTGCATAGTAAAGTGGATTGGGGTGGGGATGGGAAATTGTACAACAATGAAAGAATATTTTTTTCCCCAAAGAGAAAATTGAACTGGGAGGGGAGGGCAGAGAGAAAAATGTGCAAAAATGAGTGAATGGAAATCCAGGTTCTCTATAAACTTTCATTAAAAATCTCAAAAAAAAAAGAAATGTAAAACTAATATAGTTTCCATTACATAGTGGCAAGAAAAGGTTTGCACATATTTCTACAGATAGAAATAATCATAGAACATTGTCAGGGAGGGGACGGACGGAGAGGGGAGCAGAGATGGTGGGTGGATGGGTAAAGTGAAGAGAAAGACAAAGTGCAGTAAGGGTTTGGGGGGTAATAAGGAGCGTTATCAATTGTAATTAATGTTATAAAACAAAATGTATGTGAATTATTGAATGAAAAATAATTTCTATTTTTATTGTGATTTTAATAAAAGTTTACAGGAAAAACAAAAAAGTGGGGGGAACCTTGACAGAGAAGACTGGGGTGAAAGGAGTTCCTTTCTTGGGTCTTGTGTCCCGATTGAAAGTTTAGAGAGTAGAGCCTGCCCTCCAGGCCAGCCTGGGGCTGGTTTAGATATTCTGACATCTGGCAGGTTAATACTAAGACCACAGGCCTGTGAGGTGCCCACTGCCTCTGGGGAGCCCTGTGCTAGCAGGGACGCCTGGGGACTTCTAGGTGCAGGAGGGATGTAGAGGGCGGATGCAGAGGGCTTCTGGCTGGGGTGGGTTTTGTGAAGAGGTAGCCATGGTGCTGTTCCCACTTTCCACTCAGTCCTGACTGGAGGCCTTTGGTCCCAGCCTCCTGTTCATGCCTCTCGGGCTCCTATCAGCTGCTGCAACTCCAGCCTTTACTTCCACATTCCAGGCCCTGAGGAGATTGTCACCTAGGTTTTATACCTTTTTATTGTAGAATTGGTGATGTTTTATTATGTATGTGTGTACCACAATAAAAAAGAAAACTTTTTATTATTACAGAATACCACCTTAAAGAAATATGCTAAGTTATAAAGGTGTAATTTTACCAGTTCTTGTAAAGTGAGCCATTGGGTAAAGAAATGGAATGTTGCCAGAACCCTAGACCTGTCCCCTTCCCGGTCACCACGCCCTCCCCTGGAGGTGACCGCCATGCAGCCTGTTCTGGAAATCACCTCTTTGCTACTCTCTCATTTTACTGCCTGAGCTCTGAAATCCTGTCACACTTTGCTCCCCAGCCCCCTGAGCAGTGTGTCCAGCCATCTGCCTGTGCCCCTGCCTGTGTCCCTGGTCACTGCATAGTCAGTTACCAGCAGCAAGAGCTCTCGGCTCTCCCCTGCCCCCCTCAGATTACCAGAGGAGGCCCGTCACCGGCGAGTGTTTGAGATGGTGGAGGCTCTGCAGGAACACCCCCGAGACCCCAACCAGATCCTGATCGGCTACAGCCGGGGCCTCGCTGTCATCTGGGATCTGCAGAGCAGCTGTGTGCTCTACTATTTCCTCAGCAGTCAGGTAGGAGGGGCTGGGAACCAGGCAGGAGCAGGGGCTGGGGGCCACACACCCCACCACCATCTCCGCCCCTGACCCCCACTTATTCTCTCCCTCTCCCGCAAAGCAACTGGAGAGCGCCTCCTGGCAGCGTGATGGCCGTCTGATTGTCAGCTGCCATTCCAATGGTAGCTACTGCCAGTGGCCCGTGTCGGGTGATGCCCAGCAGCTGGAGCCCCTGTCCAACTGTGTGCCTTACGGTCAGTGTCGCCCGCCACCTGAGGGTCACGGTGGGCAAAGCAATGCCTGCTCCATGCAGCTGCTCTTTCCTGGGATCCACTGTGGGGCCTGAGCCCAGAAGCAAAGGCTGCAGCGCACAGAGGGTAGTGGCTGTGTTCACTGCCACACAGCGCTGTGCTGATGACCAGGGCGGTTTTCTCAAGAGTCCAGTGTAGAGGTCCTCTGGAAGGCCTGGGCGTGGGGCGTCCTCTGTGGCGGTCTGAGCCTGGAAGGACTTGTATACTCTTCCCTTTCAGGTCCCTTTCCTTGCAAAGCTATTACCAAAATCTTCTGGCTGACCACCAAGAAGGGGTAGGTATCAGTGCTCTGTCCTCTTTCTTCCTAGATCTTTCCAGGAGGACAGGGTAAGCCACTCAGGCCTCTATTTGCCTATGGTCAGCTTTGGGAGGTCTCATCCTGAGCAAGGCGAGGAGGGTGGGCTCACTGGCCATTCCCACCTCGCAGGGACTCGGGCCTACACAGTCCAGCCCCCTTTCACGTCCACCCTTCAAGACGTGGTTTGGATCAGGGAGTCTCAGTCTGTTTGAACAGCAGACCTTTTTTCTTGAAGCAAAATTTACATGTCAGTGGGAACGGCGGCTTCCCTGGCTTCACAGGAGGGGCACCAGGCCAGACCACAAGCCTGGACTCCTCACTAACCCCAAGTTTTCCTGGGCTGCAGCAGTCCGTCCCAGGAAGAGATGGAGTCCATCCTCGTCCATCCTGAGGACTCTGCCTCAGTGACCACTGCACAGAGGACCCAGCACTGTCCCTGGTCCCTGCTCTCCTGGCTGGGAGCTCCCGCCCACACTGCTCTTCTGTGTCCCCAGGTTACCCTTCACCATCTTCCAGGGTGGCGTGCCACGGGCCAGCTACGGGGACCGCCACTGCATCTCAGTGGTCCATGGCAGCCAGCAGACGGCCTTCGACTTCACCTCGCGGGTCATCGACTTCACTGTCCTCACAGAGGTGGACCCGACAGCTGGTGAGGAGGCGTGGGGGAGGAGGGACTAGAGATAAGGAGGAGGGTCTTGTGCAGGAGTTCTCCATCTGACACCATGCAGGCACCCTTTGGCACACACCCCATTAAACACACGGAGAACCCCCACCCCGCCATACACAGCACGGAGCCTGCACCCCACTACACATACGTTCCACACCCCACTACACACAGCACAGAGCCCGCACCCCACTACACATGTGTCCCACACCCCATTACACACAGCACAGAGCCCGCACCCCACTACACGTGTGACCCACACCCCGCTACACAGCACAGAGCCCATGCCATACTACACAAACCATACCCCATTACACACTCAAAGCCCACGCACCCCACTATATACATGCTCCACTTAGGGCTCCTTTTTGCCTTGATGCGCCCCTCTGCTGAGAGTAGATTCCAGAACTGCCTTCCCAAACCAGTCTAAGCCAGCTTTGTGCAGCCTGAGGTCTCCCTGAGCACACAGCCTGGGCCACGGTGACCCTGCTCTGCCCTGCTGGGTGATTGTCTGGTCCCCAGCAGAGGGGAGGTGCGAGAGAAGTGGGTCAGCACCCCACCTTGTGTCTTCCCGTCTCCAGAGGTCATGGCATGGTATATAATGGAGGGTATGGCCCCTGAGGTGAGGTGTGGACACCTGGGACCCCGTGTGATTGTCCTGACTGTCCTGAGCCAGCTTCCTGATGGACTGAGCACTCTGCTCAGGCCAGAAACAAAACAAGCGATGGCCCAGCCCTCACGGCTGGGGGACAGGCTGAAGAGAGAGATCAAAGGCCCAAAGCTCCAGTCTCATGGGCATTAGGTCCAGTGCCATCCCTTTGGTCCTCTAGCACACGTGCCTGGAACCCCAGTGGTGCACCCTGATCCAGGGCTGGTGGCTGTAAGAGAGGACAGTTTCCCTGGCACAGAGCCAGGGAGGAGGGCGGGCAGGCCCGGGTGGGTGTCCCCTCCTGTCCCACTCTGTGTCGGTCACCCTGGGTGGCTACTGAGACAGATGGTGCCACTCCCAGACACCTCTGCCTCCTGGGGTGAAAAGACTTCATTCAAGCAGCTGAGAGCAGGGGCTTTCTGGGTGGGCCCCCACCTGTGCTTTGAGGCTCCCCTCTAGTTTGTAACTCCTAAACCAACTGAAACAGTGCTCCAGGGATTATGCTTTTAGTGCAGATTCCCGGGCCCCAGCCCTGAACCTCTGATTCTGCAGGGCCAGGCTGGGGTCCTGCCTCCTCTGGACTCTTGGAGCCCTGACCCTTGGTCTGTCCTCTAGCCTTTGATGATCCCTACGCCCTGGTGGTGCTGGCCGAGGAGGAGCTGGTCGTGATCGATCTGAAGACGGCAGGCTGGCCAGTGCTGCAGCCGCCCTACCTGGCCTCCCTGCACTGCTCGGCCATCACCTGCTCGTACCACACATCCAACATCCCCCTGAAGCTGTGGGAGTGCGTCATCGCCGCCGGCAGCCGGCAGAGCGCACACTTCTCCACCATGGTAGGTCCAGCCCCACGCCCACCACAGCCCGCCCACCTGCCCACAGGCCCGCTCTCTGTGACGTGTCCTTCTCTTCCCCAGGAATGGCCCATCGACGGCGGCACCAGCCTGGCCCCACCCCCACCACAGAGGGACCTGCTGCTCACGGGGTAGGTCCTGGGACTCGCTGTCCTCCCCGCGGGACTTGCAGTGGGGGGAGCTGCACCCCTCTCACGCCCCGGCGGCTCTGCCCACAGGCACGAGGACGGCACGGTGCGGTTCTGGGACGCATCGGGCGTGTGTTTGCGGCTGTTGTATAAGCTCAGCACCGCACACGTCTTCCTCACTGACACAGACCTCAATGAGAACCTGCACCCCGAGGCCGAGGACGACTGGCCACCCCTTCGGAAGGTGAGCCTCCACACCTGGGAGCCAGACGTGGCTGAGCCAGGCTGGTCCACTCACAGGCCTCTCTCTTCAAACAGGTGGGCTCTTTCGACCCCTACAGTGACGACCCTCGGCTGGGCATCCAGAAGATTGTCCTCTGCAAATACAGTGGCCACCTGGCTGTGGCGGGCACAGCGGGACAGGTAGGGGCAGGGGCCGGGGTGGGTGATTCAGGCAGTGGCCAGGCCTGAGCACCTTCTTGTCACAGGCGTGACGGAGAACAGGGATGGAAACCAGTCCCGAGAGATGTCCCAGAGGTCCTGCCACTCTGTGCTCTTCCCCCGGGGTGGGGACTGTTGGTACCTTTCAGGGAGGTGTGGGGGGGTTCTGGGTGGCACCAGTGATTGACAATAGTAACCGAAAGCCTGGAGGTTTGAGACCACCCAAGAGACTCAAAAGACAAGGCTGGTCACTTAACTTCTGAGAAGTGGGCCACTGAAGGCAGGCCAGTGGAACCTGCCTGGCCCACGCCGGTTACCACGAGTGAAGGGTCGAGATACGGGTACCTGGTCTGATCTCAGGATACCGAGATTTCTCCAGGAAATCAGGAGCAAGGGTGGAGGCTGGGCTGTTTGGGGTCCCTGAGGCCCATGGCCACCCTTCCAGGTGCTGGTGATGGAGCTGAACGACGAGGCGGCGGAACACACGGTGGAGCAGGCGGAGGCCGACCTGCTGCAGAACCAGACGGGCTACCGCTGGAAGGGCCACGAGCGCCTGTGTGCCCGCCCGGGGCCCCTGCACTTCGAGCCTGGCTTTCAACCCTTCATGTTGGTGCAGTGTCAGCCCCCGGCCGTCGTCACCTCCCTGGCCCTGCACTCGGAGTGGCGGCTCGTGGCCTTCGGCACCAGCCACGGCTTTGGCCTCTTCGACTTCCAGCAGCGGCGGCAGGTCTTTGTCAAGTGAGTGGCCATCCCGGGGGCAGGCGAAGGTGGGGCTGGGGAAAGCCAGTGGCCAGATGTGGCCTGATGTCGCCCCCCAGGTGCACCCTGCATCCCAACGACCATCTGGCCATGGAAGGGCCCCTGTCCCGCGTGAAGTCCCTGAAAAAGTCCCTGCGCCAGTCCTTCCGCCGGATACGCAGGAGCCGGGTGTCTGGCCGGAAGCGGCGGCCAGCTGGCCCCTCAGGGGAGGTGAGACGCGGGCTCAGGCACAGCCTCAGTGACCAGCGGCTGCCTCCTTGTCACCCCCCGCCCTTCTCTCCCAGCGATCTGCAGGAGAACTACCTTACACAGACCCCTGGGGGCTGGGCAGGCGGGGGTTGCCACTGGCCAGCGATGGGCTGGCCCTCAACAGTGTCCCAGGGAGGGGTGGCCTCCACCTCCATTCAGACCTGGCTGGTCCACCCCAGGTGCCGGAGGCCAGCGCCAGAGTGGAGCGCGTGGGTCTCCAGAACATGGAGCTGGCGCCCGTTCAGCGTAAGATCGAAGCGCGCTCGGCGGAGGACTCCTTCACTGGCTTTGTCCGCACCCTCTACTTTGCTGACACTTTCCTGAGGGACAGTGAGTGGCTGGTTGGGGCAGGGGATGGGGAACGGGGAGCAACCCTCCAGTATGAGGGCCTGAGGGGCCTGAGGTAGACTCTCCCCTAGGAGCAAAAGGCAACCAGAGGCACCACCTGCTGGGCCAGGGAGTCAGATGGCCCCGTGTATGGCTGGCCTCCTGGATGTGTGGCCTTGGACATACCCCAAGACCTTAGGGACACAAAAGTGTCAGCTTGTGTGGGTGGCTATCCCCCCACCCAGCCCCACTTCACGGGTCAGGAGTGGAGTGAAGTGGTCATCTGAGCTGTCCCTGGTTGGTGGGTATCTGTGCTGCTCCTTGACCGGCGGGCTGGACCATAGCATTTCCCCTTAAAACACACTCATATAGGTTTGTACTTGACTCTTGACTCAGGTGCAATCAGGTGGTGTCCAAACAGGCCCCAGAGTGAGCCCGGGCTACCTGTCTGCCCCTCCCACAACCTGGCTCAGATACCCAAAGCCTTTGCCCCCTGTGTGCCCACAGGCTCCCACCACTGCCCCTCTCTGTGGGCCGGTACCAATGGCGGTACCATCTACGCCTTCTCCCTGCGTGTCCCCCCGGCTGAGAGGAGGACGGCCGAGCCTGTGCGGGCGGAGCAGGGTGAGCACTGGGCCTGGCCCGCTCTGGGGGCAGGTGTGGCCTCAGCGTGCAGCCTGCCCATCAGCCACCACCTGTTCTTCCCCGTAGCCAAGGAAATCCAGCTGATGCACCGGGCACCTGTGGTGGGCATCCTGGTGCTGGACGGACACAGTGTGCCCCTCCCAGAGCCCCTGGAGGTCGCCCATGACCTGTCCAAGAGTCCTGACATGCAGGGAAGCCACCAGCTTCTGGTCGTGTCCGAGGAGCAGTTGAAGGTGCTGCATGGGGGTGGGAGCGGTGCCTGCGGCGTGAATGGGAGGAGGCAGGTTTCTGGGAGTCCCCAGCTGGGGCTGAGACCAAGGTGCAAACAAGAGTGGCAGGGACTTACCGTGTTTTATTTGCTCTTGGTATTTGAGGAACTGCTGTTGCACAGCCAAGAATGGGGAGTCTTTTGTGTAGTCCCTAAGTCCCAGGGACAGGGGTGGGGACACACAGGCAAGTCCTATGGCCTCGCAGTTCTGCTGGTCTGCTTGCCCTGCCTGTGTCTGAGCCTAGCGTGCCAGAAAAGCTGGAGGCACCTGTCTGGCCTGGCCGCAGGATGACCTGTCCCCCATCCCTCCACCTGCAGGTGTTTACACTACCCAAGGTCAATGCCAAGCTGAAGCTAAAGCTTACGGCCCTGGAGGGCTCTCGGGTGCGGAGGGTCAGCGTGGCCCACTTCGGTAGCCGGCGGAACGAGGACTACGGGGAGCACCACCTGGCCATCCTGACGAACCTGGGTGATGTCCAGGTGGTCTCCCTGCCCCTGCTCAAGCCCCAGGTGCGCTTCAGCTGCATCCGCCGGGAGGACGTCAGTGGCATCGCCTCCTGTGTCTTCACCAAATACGGCCAAGGTGAGCAGGACTGGGCTCGCCAGGGGACAGTGCTGCAGGCCGGGCCCTGCCCCATTGGCCTCCGCAAGGAGCTGGGAGTCCTAACTGCCCGCGGGAAGTGAAGCCCCTTCTGAAGCTTTACCTGCCATGTCCACCACCCACCAGGTTTCTACCTGATCTCCCCCTCGGAGTTTGAGCGCTTCTCTCTCTCCACCAAGTGGCTAGTTGAGCCGCGGTGTCTGGTGGAGTCGACAGACGCCAGAAAACACAACTGCCCCCACAACGGGGGAGGTCCTGAAACAACGATGACTCCAGCCAGGTGGGTGAAGGGGGCATCTGCTGGTGACCAACCAGAGTCCCCTCCTCCCGGCTCCTTGCACCCCCTGCTTTTTCTGCCAGCCCCCAATCCTGGCAGAGCTGGTTCCCTCCCAGGGATCCTGCACAGGCAGGCCCACTCTTCCGTCTCAGCCCCTGGACCAGGGCTCTCAGAGCCAGGCACGCAGCCCAGAGGCCTGGTCCTCACTGTCTCTCCCCCACAGGAACTCAGGGAGCCAGAATGACCAAGAGGGTAAGACAGGCCTGTGGGGGCAGAGGGACCACACACCTGAGCCACCCCTAGCCTGGGGAGGGATGGGCCCCAGGTGAGCAGGTAGAGTTGGGGCTGGAGTGGAAACCCAGTTCTGGGTTCCAGCCCCCCACCCTAGTGAGACTGAGCAGGGGAAGGGAAGGCCAGGCTGGGCCCACTGACCTGGACTCTGCCTTCCAGAGAGATCGCCGGGCTTGGTGATGGAACACGCACTGCTCAATGACGAGAGTGAGTTGGGGGAAGTCGGGAGGAGGGCAGTAGGTGGGAATTGATCCTGGGAGAGGAGCAGGAGGCCAGGGTGGGACTGCTCCCCTGAAGGGGCAGAGCCACTGGACACCTGGTGAAAACAGGAAGGCTCCGGTAAGCCGGGCTCCCTGCTCACAGCCCTGTCCCCGGCCCGCAGAGGTCCTGAGGGAGGTCCAGAGCACGCTGGAGGCCGGCCGAGCGTAAGTTGCCTGCTTGGACGTGCCCAGGCGTCTTGTCTCCACAGGGGCACTGGGCAAGCCCTGGGTTTGGGTCTCCACCGTAACCCTCACAGGCGGTGACTACCCACCCTCTCTCTCTGTTGATGCAGGAGCCATGGAGATTGGCAATCTCACAAAGTGGCAGTGGGGCACAGGCTCAGCAACGGAGGAGGTAGGGGCTTTGGTGGCTATTATTGGTGGGAGGGGCTATGTGGGCAGAAGGAGCCCTGCACATGCCCCAGCTGTCCTGGAAACTGTACACACCTGGGCTCAGGGTTCGGGGGCGAGGAGGCAGTGTCTGACCCCATCATTCATGACCGCTCTGAATGTGTCCCTCCATTTCTCTTAGCAGAATAAGCCACAAGTATCCGAGGTGCTACTGACCACACACTACTGAGGTCCGTCCTGGGACTGCCCCCCAACTCCGGACCGGCCAAGGACTGAGCCATGCGGGGCACCCTGACTCCCACCTGCTGCTGCTCCTGGCTTCAAGTGGGGAGACCCTAGGCCTGGGGCCGCCCTCCCGGGCCCATCCGTCTGTCTCTTTGTCAAAGTTGCACAGTTTTTATCCTCCCACACACACATTTTTTTTTTATTTTATTTTGTAGTGGGCTGGGTTTTAAATTATAACGTTGAATTGCCTCTTGGTGAAAGCGTTTTTAATATATACTTTAATATATTACCTCTTAACTGGATGATCGGATACCCTTCATTTTGGGGGTTGTAGCGATGTCCTGTGGTGGGAATGGTCACAGCCACACACCTTCCTTGTCCCCAAGGTCTGCTCCAGGCCAAGATGGGGTTGGGCATCAGGAGAAGCTGGTTTTATGTCACTGAAACCCAAATGACCCAAACTAGCTTTATCTGGGCTCAGTATATATATAAACACTTGGGGTCTGCCAAGGAAGTAGCACCCCAAGGCAAAAGGGCTTACTCTCCACCAGATGAGGAGTGTACTTTGATCAAAGCTAAAAAAATTTAAAAAACCTTGCTCATAGCTGACCTTCCATAGGGATTTTGGAGGATGTATATTGGACCAAGATGCATTGATAATAATGGGTGACTAGAATGCAAAAGTCAGGAACAAAGAGGAAGATTCAGTAGTTGGAAAACATGG